TGCCCCTCGAGCGCGCATGTCAAAACCATTCGAACACGCTTGAGCGCCCTTGCAGCATAATAGGACGAAGTGCGCGCGCGTCGTCGCGCGCGTATGCCGCAATCCTTCAACATCTTTGGGTTTCGTAGAGAAATCAGAAACGAGTGCTCCGACAAAGTATAACACATCGGTGATCTCGTTACCGGTTGTTTCAATAAAGCCTGCGCTCGCGCTGTTGCGAATTCGGAAAAGCCATGAGTTTGACAACATGTTCATCATATAATACCCAACGTGCATGTCGCGCGCGTGTCAAAATAATTCGAACGCGCTTGCGCGCGTGCTTGGGGGGGGATGGGCCCGATCCCCATCAAAGAACCGCATGCAGGTCACATTCGCGCGTCAACATCGGTCGACCGCATGACGACATTGTTCCAAAACCTCCATCACCGACCGACGCGAGAACACCATCATCGTCATCGGCGTGATGAGCATCAACACCATAACTGCCTTTGCCGTCGTCGTTGCCATCATCGTCACCACCGTCGCCACTAACCTCATCGTGTTTGCCGGTGTCGACGTCGTCATGATACCGCGCCCGCCCGAATGAATCACTGACTCGCACTGATGTGCCCGCGCGTCAGCGCGGCCTGCCAGACGCGCTGGGAAGTTCTCAGCGGTCAGCGCCACCGCGCGCTAGCGCGGCCGCAGAAATGCGCCAGCCAACGCCAAACAGCAATCGCCATCGCCGCCGAATGGGTTTTGCAAACCAAGTTGCGGATAGGTGGGTGGGATGTTTGCGCGAGCGTGGGAGGTGGCCACGCGCGAAAAAAACAACGTCAATTGCGCCAGATAGATTGCCCCGCATAGATTGCACCGGTAGAGTGCACAACGGAAGTTGCACGCCACAACATTTCACACCGTAAGCCGAATCATATCGATTGCACTGCGCAAACATTGCTCCGCATATATGGCACAACGAATATTGCACCATATCAGGTGCACCACATATATTGCACCACACAAATTGCGGCACGCATGTTGCACCACCTAGGTTACTCGACATAACTTGCACAACATACATTGCACTACATAAGTTGCACACCATTAGTTGAACAAGGTAGATGATGCGACATATATTGCACAGCATATGTTGAACCACATACGTTGCACCACTCAGATTGCCCAACATAAACTGCACCACATCGGTTGTATTGCATATATTGCGCCACATCGATCCTGCCACACATTTCTAGAAACACACTGTTGGAGGTCCGCGCTGGCTAGCATTCGAATCTTCGCTGGCGTTTGGACACTCTCGTGCCCTGGAATGCTTTTGCGTCAGCTGCGCCTCCTTGAGAGGCGCCCCGGGGTGCCCGAATCACCCGCTCGAGACTGGAATCAAGGCGTGGAAACTGACTGGCCCAGACGTCAAACGTACAAATCAAACGACGCGCCACGTTTTCGCAATTTTCGGCTCATGGGGGCCCTCGCCTGGCCCCGGGGTCGTCAATTCGCGGCTCGGGGTGAGGCGCTAGGGCTGGGGAAAGCGTTGCAACTTCTGGAGGCCCCGCATTGGAAAATTCAACGCGTCGGATCCTCCTCCTCTTTCTCCTCCTCCTCCTCCTCCTCCTCCTCCTCGTCCTGCTCCTCATCCTCCTCCTCCTCCTCCTCCTCCTCCTCCTCGTGCTGCTCCTCTTCCTACTCTTGCTGCTCCTCCTCCTCCTCCTCCTCCTCCTGCTCCTCCTTCTCCTCCCCCCCTCCTCCTCCTCCTCCTCCTCCTCCTCCTCCTCCTCCTCCTCCTCCTCCTCCTCCTCCTCCTCCTCCTCGTCCTCCTCCTCCTCCTCGTTCGTCCCCTCCTGCTTCTCCTGCTCCTCCTGCTCCTCCTGCTCCTCCTGCTCCTCCTGCTCCTCCTGCTCCTCCTCCTCCTCCTCCTCCTTCCACCCCTCCTCCCTCTCCTCGTCCTCGTCCTCCTCCTCCTCCTTCTCCTTGTCCTCCTCCTCTTCCCTCTCCTCCTCCCTGACTGGGCGGAGGAGGGCTCGGGGCCAAAGCCTTGGGGCGCCCCGACGTGCTCCGGCGCGGCTCGGCAACAGGATGAGGGCGGCGCCCACAAGCGGGTCAGGGGATTGTTGACACCCCGCCACGAAGGAAGCTCCCCGATGCCGAGCACCTACACGAAGTGACACCTCGGGGCGGCCGACCGCCTGCGGAGGGCCCGAGGCCCGCCTTCGACGCACTGCACACAACACGCCGAGAATCAACTCTGTCGGCAACACGCTGAGTGCGTCAGGGGACCGATGGCGAGGATGAGGCTTTGGAAGATTGCGGGGGTTCCCCATGGGCGTTTAAACGGGGTCTGGGGACGGGGGTCGGGCGTCTTGAGGGGTTCCTGCTCACTGACTTCCTCCACCGCTCTTCTTCTCCTCCTTCTCCAAGGTCTGCCACCTTGACCTCTTCTGGGGGCATTCTGGCCAGAATTCGGAAGAGGATCCCCTTCCCGGAGTCCCAAGGAGGCTCAGACAGAACGTCCGCAAGTCTCGATCCTCGATCCTCCTTCTCCTAGTCTTCCTCCTTCTCTTCCTCCTCCCACTCTGGGGGTGGACGAAAGGAGGGGTCTAGCAAATGGGGATGTAGCGAAGCAGCTGGATCCACTGGTTTTCCTGGCGCATCCCAGCACCAGAGGCGGCCATATGCTCGAGGGAAATTCCTGGCAGTGGGGCCGACACGGGCTGGTGAGCGTTTTTTTTATTCGGCGTTTCGACATAGGGCGGAAAGGGGGCGGGAGGGGGGAGGTCTGGCTCCAGACCTCTGCTTAGTGCGTCTGTTTGCAGCAGTGCTGCCTCTGGGGGAGACTCCACCCGCTCGAAACAGGTGCCAAAAAACAGCCAAGATCTACTCCTTGGGGGGGGGGGGGCGAGGGCCCGCGCCGATCGGCAAAACAACGAATAAAAAACGACCACGTGCACGCAGCAAATCTCGCAACTCTCCCGTTTCCTGCCCACCCCTGGCCTCTCTCTCCTCCGATGCCGCAGACTTGTCGCGACGTGCGTCGCCCATGGGGCCTCGACACCTCCCATGGGGCCGACTTTTCATCCGGCATTGTTGTTTGACTGTCCCAGGGCCCGGGGTCGAGGAGGCTTCCGGAGGCCGAGACCGCAGGATAGCCGGCCGTGGAGATCTCTTTCGGCGGCGCTCGGGTCCGAAGAGGCCCGGAAACCCCCCGACGGATGAAAAAACGCCCGCAACGTCCTCCACCCCTCTTCCATATAACCAACCTGCCCCTGCCGCACCACTGGACGTGCCATCAGGACGGCCAGGCGTTTCACCTGAGACTTCCTACGGCAGGTTCGTGTCGTGACGACCCCAGCGTTGGTTCCTGACACCGCGCTGGATCGTTCAACCTTGAATGGTCGGCCGCTGCCGCAACGTCCGATCGTTCAACATCGACCGATTCTGGGCCGCCGTCGGCGTTCAACCTTGAACGTCGGCGGCGGGGTCGCCGCCGGTCGACACGACGCGAACCTACCGTAACCGTTGCTGATCTTGAAGCCTGAAAGTTCTGGCACCTACACGGCTGGAGGGTCGGTGGTTCTCGACAGGCGGCGCTCACCTCGGCGCCGCGCACGCTCGCCTCCCGCAGCTTCGCGTGTGGCGTGCGGGTGGGTTTCCCACCTCGTGGCTCTCGCCCCTGCGGGCCGTGCGGCACGCGCGCCTTAGAGCTTCCGGCAGCTGCGCGGGTGGAGGGCGGCGCGCACGCTGGCGTCGCACCACCTCCGGCAGCCACGCTGGATGGAGGGCGGCTCCTTTTCGGTGGGGCCCCCTCGCTCGAGCTCTCGCCGAGACTTAGGGACCAGCTGTCCAACCTGCCACCAGTCTGCCGGGGCCGTCGCTTGGCACCCTGGTCGGAAGAAGTAGGTCGAACAATATGAAGTAGGAGGGCGTCGAAAGCAGATCGGGTTCCGTCCGCCCCCTGGGGAGGACGGAAAAGGTGAAGCCACTCGATCACTGAATTAGGAAGGCGCCTAAAGTAGATTGGAATGTGGGACTCTAAGAATACATACTTTCAACGACCGATGGGTATTGCACGAATGACGGGGCCCTGGGACACACTAATCAGTACACACAGATCACAAGATTCCCTATATATTTCCCCTATAGTTTCTGGGCTTCTGTCTTCCCCCCCACTTCCTATATTTTCCCATCTTTTCCTGGGGATCGACGATTAATTGTGTCTGTGCTTTTTTCCCCTCCTGACTTCTTCCAGCACGGAGCTCCCGCCCGAAGCGCAGGCCCATGGGGCGCTCGTCCTTCCAAGGATGGGGTCGCTCGTCGTGCCTCGGAGAAGGGGCCGCCTGCTGCCTGGACGTCGCGAGGAGGGGATCTGGCACGGGAGCCTGCGCTGCAGCACCGTCGATGCATCTTGGGCTTACTCCTTCTCCTCCTCCTCCTCCTCCTCCTCCTCCTCCTCTTGCTGCTCCTCTTCCTCCTCGTGCTGCTGCTGCTCAGCCTGCTCCTCCTCCTCCTCCTCCTCCTCCTCCTCCTCCTCCTCCTCCCCCTCCAACTGATGGCGGTGGTGGTGGAACCCAGGCCCACCAGAAGCGAGCCCCGGGCAGGCTCCCCGCGGCCTCGCCTCCGCCGTGGGGGCCACCGGGCGGCTCTCACCCTCCTCCCTGTGCTTCGCCGACGCTGCCTTGCACACTGAGCGTCCGAACACTCCCCGCAAAAAGACCCGAGAGAGCGTGCGATCGGCATCGAACTCTTACCACCTGAGGTGCAGACTCCCTGCCTTTCTCCCTGGCCTTCTCCTCTAAAGGGGCCCCAGAACACACAAAGAAATACACACAAACCAAAAGATTCCCCATCTTCTCCCATACTTTCTGGGTTTTTGTCTTCCCCCCACTTCCCATATGTTCGCATATTTTCCGGGGGATCGACGATTAATTGTGTCTGTGTGTGTTTTTCCCCTCCTGATCCTCGTTCCTCCCCCAGCGGCAACCGCAGCGGAGCAGAGCGGAACTGCCGTCCTCGGGGCTGCGCTTCAGGCACCGGCCCGCGAGCTCCTTGCCCACCGGCGGCACGGCCTGGCCGCCGCCGCCGTGCACCCCCCTGACGCCGCAAGCTCTTCGAGACTGGGGCCCCCAAAGGGTCTCGACTCCTTTCGGGGACTGGCTTACAGTCGGGGCGTTGACCTAAGGAACCCTGAATAAGGAACGAGGCCTCTTTCTCCATAAGTTAAACTTCGATTTCCTGTCGAAAACATAAGGAAAACCTGAGGCAAGCTGTGAAACACTTAAGGAACGCGGAGCCCCTCCCCAACCAAAAGGGTTCCTTCTTCAGGGCCCCGATTGTATCACTCCGAGTCGTTCTCTGGCGGTCCCAGGGCCAGGAAGCCGCCTCCAGAGGCAGAACTGGGGAACGTCCGTCGCAGCTTATCTTTGCGGCGCTCAGACCTGAGGGTCGTCGTCGTCGTCGTCGTCGTCGTCGTCGTCGTCGTCGTCGTCGTCGTCGTCGTGGTCGTCGTCGTCGTCGTCGTCGTCGTCGTCGCCGTCGTGGTCGTCTTCGTCGTCGTCGTCGCCCCCCTTTCATGTGGCAGCGCCACCACTTATGATGCGCCTCATCCCCCTCCTTCTCCTCGGAGCTCGGAGCTAGAGGCAGGTCTGCCCCCTCCTCCTGATCTCCTGCTTTCCTGACGGCATTGGGTTTCTCCGAACGCTGCCGCTCCCCTCGGGGCTGGCCAACCGCCAGCCCTGGGGGAGTATACTATAAAGTAAGACGACGGTAACGCAGACAGACAGGGAGGAGGAGAAGGAGGAGGAGGAGGACGGCTTGGCGACCGGGCGCGCAGGCGACGCCACGGTTTCGGGTGCAGCACTGCCTCGGCAGAGGCACCCGCGGGGCCCGAACCGATCGGAACCTCCGGTTCGCTGCTCCGCGCTGCTCCTCGCGCCACCAGGGGGGGCTCGACGGCCGCCTCCGGAATGGGCGGCGTGCGCTGCGACATGCAGATCACGTGGACGACCTGCATCATGTTGTCGAACACGCCCTTGCCCCACGGGTCCTTTGCATGCAAGGCTCCTCCTCCTCATCCTCTTCCTACGCGTTTTCAACACACACTTGTACAGTAGCATCGTCAATGTTTCTAGCCGCCGACATCGTCACCCTCTTACTGTTATCTATGGCTGCAGTTTCGGCTCGAGTGGTTGAGAGGCTCGAGTGCAAGGCTCCTCCTCCTCATCCTCTTCCTCCTCATGCTCCCGCCCTGTGTCCTCCGTTGCATCCTCCTTCGCCTTCTCCCCCTCTCCTCCTCCGCCTCTTCCCCCGCTCTTCCTCTCCTCCTCTCCTCCTTCTCCTGCATCCTCTTCTCCTCCGCCTCCTCCCCCCTTCCTCCCTCTCCTCCCACCCTTTTCCCTCTCGCGCTCCCCCTCGGACCTCGGACCTCATGGCATTGGTACCATCAAGCAGCGCCTGCTCCCCCTCCCTCCTCCTCCTCCTCCTCCTCCTCCTTTTCCGCTCCCCTCCTCCACCTTCCCCCCCATGCTCTGAGGCTGCTGCGTCTGCTCCTCATCCTCACTCCTTCCTCTGTCCTCGTCCTCCTCCTCCTCCTCCTCTCCCTTGCCTTTTTCGTTCCCCTCGTCGTCGTCGTCGCCGTCCTCCTCCTCATCCTGAACTCCTTCTCCTCATAGATAAGTCCTCCCTGTCGCACCCCGGGGCCAGTTTTTAGGGCGGGCCGGGCGTTTCGCCTGAGACTGCCTCACCATTTATGATTCTGAAGCTGAGAAAGTGACAGCATTTTGACACATGGAGGGCTGGTCCTTTTCAACATGCGGCTCTCGCCTTAGCGCCGCGCACACTCGTCTTAAACATTTGCAAGAATTTCGCGGATTGAGGGCGGTTCCTTTTCAACATGTGGCTCTCGCCTTAGCGCCGCGCACAATTCGTTATAAACATTGCAAGGGTTTCCCAGATTGAGGGCGGGTGGTTTTCAAAATGTGGCTCTCGCCTTAGCGCCGCACACATTCGTTTTAAACATTGCAAGACTTTCACTGATTGAGGGCGGGTGTTTTTCAAAACGTGGCTCTCGCCTTAGCGCCGCGCACATTCGTTGCCAACATCTGCAAGCGTTTCACGGATTGAGGGCTGGCTCCTTTTCAAATGTGGCTCTCGCCTTAGCGCCGCGCAAATACATTTTAAACATGTGCAAGAGTTCCACGGACTCCCATGATCAACGTACCACAATTTGTTGTCTGGAATGATTCAGGATTATGCGGGTGCAACAATTATGTTGACTTGCGGTGTTGAAATCCAGAAATGGCCTTATGGCACGATTCCGGATCGCCAAAACGCAGCAATCAGGTTGATATGTGGCATTGAAATCCCGAGAACCGTGTCTTGGCATGCTTCAGGATCTTCAAACGGTTGTCTTCCAACGAGGCAGTTCCCTCAATGGAAATGAACCGTTGTAGGGGCCTATGAAGAGGGAGTTTGGAGGGAGGGTTAATTCCACCATCGTTGATGACTCTTGGGTTTACACTGGCCCTCCTGCTCCTCCTCCTCTTCCTCCTCCTCCTCCTCCTCCCCCCTCCTCCTCCTCCTCCTCCTCCTCCTCCTATGCCTCCTCCTCCTCCTCTCTCCTCCTCCTCCTCCTCCTCCTCCTCCTCCTCCTCCCCTCGCCTCCTCGTTTCCCTCGTCGTCGTCGTCGCCGTCCTCCTCCTCCTCCTCCTCCTCCTCCTCCTCCTCCGCTCCCCCCTCCTCCTCCCCCTACCCCTGTCCCTCCTCCTCCTCCTCGTCCTCCTCCTCCTCCTCCTCCTTAGCTTTGATCCCTGTGGGGCCTCCTCATAGGCATAGCCACGCGTCGCTCGGCAATGGGGGCCCGCAGCACGACGGACGACGAAGGACGACGAAGACGACGACGACGACGACGGAGACGGCAACACGGGCGACGACGACAACGGGCGATGATGGAGACGACACCGGCAGCCACAACGACGACGACGACGGGCGGCGGCGGCGGCGTCGGTCCGCCGCGGTGGCCATCTCCAGCACGACGCAGCCGAAGCTCCAGATGTCGGCCTTGCGTCCGAAGCCCAGCTCGTCCTGGGATGCCAGGGGCAGCGAGGGGGGTCAATGCAAACTCGAGGCGCATCAGCGATGCTGCAATAGACCCTCCCTCAAAGTTCCCTCCTCGCGAACCCCTTCCACAACATCTACTTCCATTGCGGGTAATGCCCCGTTGGAAGACAACCGCTAGAGAACCCTCAATCGTGCCAGAACGTAATTCCTGGGACTGCGACGCCGCGAATCAACGTGACAACTGCGTCCTGGCATTCCCAAATCATGCTAGAACGTGCGTGTATCCTTTTGACCTGAACACAACGAATCCACATGGCATTTTGCGTCCTGACAATTTCAACTAGTCCCAGAAAACAATTCCTGGGACTTCAACCGTACAAATAATTTTAACTGCTGCAAGCGTTTAAAGCGAGTGTGCGCGGCGTTTTGAAAACGAACCACCCTCCATCTGTGAAACACAGATGAAAATTTATCCATCTGTGAAACACAGATGAAACTTTATAAAACGAATGTACACGGCGCTGAAGCGCGAATCAAATGTTGAATCCGGCCCGCCCTCAATCATCATAGTCGTCGTCATCATCAGCATCATCATCATCATCGTCATCATCATCATCATCATCATCATCATCATCATTAGTATCGTCACCATCGTCACCATCATCATCGTCATCGTCATCGTCATCGTTATCATCATCATCATCATCATCATCACCACCGTCACCATCGAGAGCATCATCATTATCATCATCACCACTCAACACACCCACACTCACTCATCACCACTCATCACTATCGCCACCACCATCATCATCATCATCAGCATCATCACCATCACCATTATCATCATCATCACAACTTATCATCACAATGCACACTCACATACTCATCGTGGAAGAAGTCTCGAGCGGGACCCCCTCCCTATGGGGCCCGCGCTGTATGTTCGAATCCGAGCGGGTCATTAGCAAGCTCTACCAAGCATAGCACTTGAGCAGCCCAGGGAGTCAAATCGTGAGGATGTCTCCAGCGGGGGCTTCGTCTTTGAGTGAGTTGCGAAGAAGTCTCGAGCGGGAGCCTCCTCCCTATGAGGCCCGAACTTCATGTTGGTAATCCGAGCGTGTTATCGGCAAACTCTAATACCACTTGAGCACCTCAAGAGGGCAACTCGCGAGGATGTCTCAAGCGGAGGCCTCGCCTGTGAGTGAATTGCGTGGAGGTCTCAGGCGGGAGCCCCCTCCCTATGGGAGAATGGGGTCCGCGCTTTCTGCTCGAATCCGGGCGGGTCATCGGCAAACTCTACCAGGCATACTACTTGAGTACCCCAAGGGGGCAAATCGAGAGGATGTCTCCAGCGGGGGCTCCGTCTGTGAGTGATTTGCGAGGAGGTCGCAGGCGGGAGCCCCCTCCCTATGGGGCCCGCGCTTTATGTTCGAATCCGAGCGGGTCATCGGCAAACTCTACCAGGCATACCACTTGAGCACCCCAAGGGGGCAAATCGTGAGGATGTTTCGAGCGGGGGGGCTTCGTCTGTGAGTGAATTGCGAGGTGGTCTCAGGCGGGAGCCCCCTCCCTATGGGGTCCGCGCTTCATCTTGGTAATCCGAGCGGGTCATTAGCAAATTCTACCAGGCATAACACTGAGCACCCCAAGGGGTCAAATCGAGGATGTCTCAAGCGGGGCTCCTCCTCCCTATGGCGCCCTCACCTCATGCTGGTAATTGGGCTCTTTTGGCCTGAATCTGCCCTCTATACAAGGTCCCCATCTCCATGTTTTGAAATTCTGAGCGGGGTCATCCAAATTTTGAATCGGCGATATTTTTTTGGTTCCCCAAGCTTGAACCTGGAGGCAGTCTCGAGCGGAAGCCTCACGAGTGAATCGCGAGGAAGTTTCGAGCGGGAGCACTCGGAAAGCCTCCGAAGGTCACAGGCTCCCGGGATATTCAGGAAACCAGCGGAGGCTTCAGGATGCCCCGGAGGCCGCAGGAGGCCCCAGAGCCACCGGGAAGCCCTGGGAGGCCCCAGGATTTCTCCGGGAGGCACCAGGTGGCACCAGGACGTCCCAGGAGTATCCCGGGCCCCATGAGGTCCCAGGAGGTCCCAGAAGGGTCTCCTCCTCCCTCCTCCTCCTCCTCCTCCTCCTCCTCCTCCTCCTCCTCCTCCTCCTCCTCCTCCTCCTCCTCCCTCCAGGAGGCAGCAAGAGGCCCCAGGAGGAGGCAGGCGGCCCAAGGAGGAGGCCGGGGCAGGAGGAGGAGGCCAGGCTGCAGGAGGCAACCGGAGGCCCCAAGAGGTCCCAGACTGAGGCAGGAGGCTCAAGGGGGTTTCAGGAGGAGGCCAGAGGAAGAGGCAGGACGAGGATGAGGATGAGGATGAGGATGAGGACGAGGACGAGGACGAGGACGAGGACAAGGACGAGGACGAGGATGATGATGATGATGATGATGATGATGATGATGATGATGATGATGATGATGAGGAGGAGGAGGAGGAGGAGGAGGAGGAGGAGGAGGAGGAGGACCCTGACCTACAACCCAGGCGCGATGGCGGGACGGGCCGAAGGCCAATTGATGATCCCCATCCTATGGGCCTGCGTGAACCCCATCATCCTCAGGTCGTGATCGCCCTCGGGGAGAGGGCAAGGAGAGCCCACCTCCCTCCTCCTCCTCCTCCTCCTCCTCCTCCTTCGTAGCCATTTTGGCTCAAGCCTTGGCTCAAGCTGGCTCTTCGTGTCTGCTCGGTACCGTTTCTTGTACTTGCAGTCGGGCGCTTGGGCATGGCGGCGGTCTCGCTCTGCCAGTCTGTGGCGAGTATTGTGTGCGGCCAGCCGTCCGCCGCGCACGTCCTTGCTGTGGCGCTTGGTGCTGCAGCGGGCGGCGCATCGCGCCAAACGGCGGCGGCGATGGTGTCTGCCGCTATCCGGACATCCTGCGACGGCGTCGACGGCGTCCAGCAGGAGGTCGCAGCCAGGCTGGCCATGGTGGAGCCAGCCCTCATGGAGCTGGTTAAGGCGGGACCCACAGGGGAGGCCGAGATCAGCGGGGACATGAAGGCCATGCGCAACGCCGGCCTACACGTAGACATGGGCTGCGGCGCAGATGACCTCCCGCAGACGGGCCGCGAGGCCAAGCGGAGGCAGCGCGGCGGCCGCAAGGCCAAGGAGAGCCTCAAGATTGACGGGTCGCAGTGCTACAAGGGCGCCGATGCGGGCCCCGCCCCCCCCAGCGAGGACAAGGTCAAGGGCGGCGCCGGTGGGGAGGGGTGGGGGCCGCGGCCCGAGGAAGCAGACCTGTCGGAGACGGTGGACGACATGACGGATCTGGCGAGCGAGACCGTGAGCTCGTCGGAGATCGGCATGGCGCTGGAGGAGCATGTCAAGTGCGCCTCCGACTGCAAGACCATCGACACTAAGGGGATGGTGTCGGTCATGAGCTACGGGGACGCGCTGGACGAAGTGGACGACACGCAGTACTTGCCGAAGCCTGTGGCGGAGCAGATCGGGGAGGAGACGCTGGAGGACATCGACCTCGTCCCCAGCGGCACGGCCACCGAGGGGAAAGTGCTGGTCGCCGACATCAGCAACGGAGGCACCGAGGGCGAGGATGACCTGGGCCTTCGCAAAGCCAAGCACGAGTGGGAGCTGCAGAGGGCGTCGGTCTTCGCTGGCGTCTCGAACGAGGAGCTGTACGAGAAGTTCCTCGACTGGAGGGACCAGCACAAGTCCATCAAGATGGAAGAGCTGGTCAAAAGCGGCCTCGCACTCGCGGAGTTCTCTCGGAAGCTCAAGGAGTGGGAGGACTACTTCAAGGTGGAGGTCTGGGGTGCCACGTGAGTCCTCGGCCAGCGCGAGGGGCGCGGTCGCGGGCTGCGAAGTCGTGGACCCCTTTGCCCCTGGGCTGGGCTGCGCGTGGTGCGAAGATAACTGCGCGTCCCCTGGGGGCTGTTCCTGGGCGCCGTTGGGCGCAGTGCAAGCACTATTTTGATGGCGCGGAGGCTCGTGCCCTCCTGCGGCCCGCCAGTAGTGCAGAGGGGAAGGGACATTGGTCCCCAGTGGCGATCTCCTGGCGATCTCCTCCTCCTCCTCCTCCTCCTCCTCCTCCTCCTCCTCCTCTCTCCTCCCTCCTCCCTCCTCCCTCCTCCCTCCTCCCAAGATCGAATCGATAAATCGGATCGGCCACCGATATGAAGCGGCTCGGCAGAAGTCGGCAACCGAGTCGGGGGAAGTCAGCCGGCGGAACCTCGGCAGGCCAGTGGGCCTCCATTGAGAACTTGGACTCCGTATCGGAATCTCAAGTCGAATCGGCATCGGAATCGGGATCGGAAGCGAATCGAATAGAGAACCCTCGGAATCGAATCGGAATCGAACCGAATCGGAACCGAATTGGAAACGAATCGAACCGAGTCGGAACCGAATTGGAATCGGAATCCATCGGAACCAGACCGCATCGGGTCGAACCGCCATGGAGGGGGAGCGCGCCGAGGTGCCGCCCCTTCTGCCCCTCGGGGCCCGAGGGGGGGGGGGGCTCCACGCCGGAGAGGGCCCGCACGCCACGCCACGCCCGCGGGGCCAGCCGCGCCTGGCTCCACCGCTGCCCGCAGCCTCCGTCGAAGCTGCTCGCGTCGCTGCTCGCGCCGCTGCTCGCGTCGCTGCTCGCGTCGCTGCTCGCGTCGCCGCTGGCTCCTCCTGCTCCCTCTCCCTCCCTCCTCCCTCCTCTTTCCTCCCTCCTGCTCTTCCTCCCTCCTCCTCCTCCTTCTCCTCCTTTTACGTCAAACTAAACAAGCCTTGGGTCGTACCTGTCGCGTCCCCCTCCTCCTCCTCCTCCTTCTCCTCCGCCTCCGCCTCCGCCTCCGCCTCCGCCTCCTCCTCCTCCTCCTCCTCCTCCTCCTCCTCCTCCTCCTCCTCCTCCTCCTCCTCCTCCTCCTCCTCCTCCTCCCCCCTCCTCCCCCTCCTCCCCCTCCTCCCCCCCCTCCTCCTCCTCTTCTCCCCCCCCCCTGCTTCCCCTGCTTCCCCTGCTTCCCCTGCTTCCCCTG